AACGGCCATCGATGCCGCCCAATGATCAGTCAGTGGCCGACGCGTCCAATTGGCCACTGCTATCGCAGACCAATAATCAGCAACAATACCAACTGCAACACAGACCCCCTCCGCCGGGGCCGCCATCAGTGGCCAACAGCCGTATGTCGGCGCCAGTCATGCCGTACGGCAACGCTCAACAGTACAACCGGTTCGGACCGATGCCGCGGTCGCCGGTGACGGCCACTACGACCAGACCGACAATGCATACGCTTATGCCGAGCCCAATGAGACCGACAATGTCTCAGATGACGTGCCGCTCGTCGACGATGCCGTCGATGATGTCCGGCTCTCACATGTCATTATCGCAGGTATTTATCAAAGATATGCCATTAGTTGTCATGATTTTAACAAAATTGTATTTGTATTTCACCGGAATCTAGAGTCAAAGCCATCCATACAGACTCCCAATGGTCTCATATCAGCCACCAGTCGATACAATGCGCCGATCGTCTCAAATGATGCCAAACGCCAGTCACAGCGGACTTATGCCGCAGTCATCTCTCTCTTCAGCGTCGGCGCCGCGTTTCCCCGCACAGGGAATCCGGACAAACGTGTCGGACATACGGCACATGCAGTACAACAGTAGACCCGACGCCAGTATAATACAACACACGCATACCTCACGACCGCCGCCACCACAGGTGCCCGATATGAGACAACAACGGAGCGGACACCCGACCACTATGTCGCCGATGGGCGCCAACATGTCGTCGCATTCATCGCAGTTACGATACCATCACATGTCTGGACACTCAACGTCACAGCACCGGCGGCTAATGGATTCACCGACGACTCTACAGCAGCAGTCCATGTCTCAGCCTTCGCTGCCACCGATGTCTACAATGTCTGGTCATTCGCAGCACAAGTCGTCCCCCCTTTACGAGAGACCACGCATTCCGTACGGAANCACTCAACGTCACAGCACCGGCGGCTAATTGATTCACCGACGACTCTACAGCAGCAGTCCATGTCTCAGCCTTCGCTGCCACCGATGTCTACAATGTCTGGTCATTCGCAGCACAAGTCGTCCCCCCTTTACGAGAGACCACGCATTCCGTACGGAACGCCGACTTTGCGGCCAGAGTTTGGCGGTCCGTTGCGGCCACGGATTAGTCAGCCACAGCATCCACACCAACAACAACAACAGCAGACATTAGCGCCAATGACATCACACCAATCGACGCTGCATTACGCGATCGGAACCGTTGGAATGCCCTCCTATTGTTCGCAACGGCCGCCGCAGTTGTCTCTTTCGCAACCGATGCCGACCACAACCTCCGTCACCACCTCTACCTCAGGCGTCGCACAACTGAGTCCACGAAGTGTTCACAACAACACCCAAATGCATCCACAGATGACACACAATCTATACATGCCATCCATGGCATCGATGCCGCCACCGATGTCACAGCCGTCGGGCGCCGACAATCACCAGAAGCGGGTGACTGTAGAGGCGAAACAATTGGTCGGCATTCGGGATAAGATTAAACAAAACAGCCATACGATCGACACGAGTAGTCAGCTGCCGATGGGTATGCGTCCGTCCATTGATCCCAATCGCTACCACCGCGCGTCCAGTGGCTATAATCCACAGGTTTTTATCATCAATTAAGATAATTATGTGGTTTATAATGATGTGTAAACTCTTATCGTTTTTGTGTGTTTTGTTTCATAGATGATGGAGAAAGAGGTGGAACAACTGTTGGCGCCGCGACCCCAGCATCACAGCCAAGAACATCGACCGCTGGCCGCCTTTGGCTCCCAAATGGCCAATCAGTACAACGTGTCCATCAATAATAGCACAAACGCCAGGCCATTGACCGCAAATAATGGTCAAATTCTGCACCATTTACTCACACCCGACACACCAATGGCTCCCAATAGTAGTCACCTGAATGTCATTAATGAGAGAGAATTTAACGCCGCCTCCGATCGTATGTATCAATAATTTAGTGATTATTTGTTAGTAAAAAATGTTTATCACTTACGCCTACAGTTGGGTCACAAATGAGACCAAACTCGCGATCGGCGACCAATACACCCACCGGACAGTCGAAGTCAGTTCCTAAGGATATACTGACCGCTGCGATGGAAGAGATCGAAATCAACGAAGTGTACGACGAGGCCATCATTCTGGACACCGAGTCCAGCGATGGCGACTCGATTGTGGCCAACAGTCAACC